ACCGAGTGGGTGGTGGGTTTGAAGCGGTCTTTTGCGAATAGAACTATCCCGGGTCTTCTATGACACTCCCAACGATAGCGAGGTAGTCCTCCTGTGGGCAGTTACCTTGCAGGAGTGTAGGTAGTTGGCCCAGCTTCCAGAATCGCGACGAGGCTGACTCTGTCTTTCGTGTATTGCAGGTTCTTTGGCATGATGACACACCAAACATTTGTTTACTTTCGGAGATCCGGTAAAGACCCCCCATACACACATCTTTTGGTGAGTCTTCGTCCAATCACTGGTTGAGAATTTCGATTTTTTCACCAATTTTCTCACTCAAAAATGTCGTTTATTTTTCAGACATTTTTCACTGAAAAAGAAGATGAAAAATTTAAAAGGTTTTCAGCACTTTCTGGTTTTATTTCGAATTTTTCACCCCGAATCAAGAAAGTGCTGAAAAAGTTTTAAATTTTTCACCTTCTTTTTCAGTGAAAAATGTCTAAAAAATAAATGACATTTTTCAATGAGAAAATTGGTGAAAAAAACGAAATTCTCAACCAGTGAATTGCCTGCTACATTTACTTCGAAGCTGCCCTGCAGGCGAGTCGGTATACATTCAGTGGCCCGCAGGGCAGTCAGTATGCATGCAGGTACACATCCGGTCTGGGTATGGATGAGCAGTGGGGGTCTGCGTACCAGTTTGTAGACAGGCAGGCGGCCAGATAGCATACATGGGTGCACATTATGGGTAGATATGCATTTTTGTGATGCTGGAATAGGGTGCACAAAAAGCTACTTTACAGCTCAAAAAGGCCATTTTTTCTCTGGTGTGACGTCCCACCACCACAGATTATTGTATTAAGTGGTAAGTGTTTGGATGTCCAATAGAAAACACTGGGAAATCCCATGAACATGGGACATACACTCAGATTCAAGACCTCAAGGGATAGTTAAGCCAGGTCAAAAGTCTACCCCTAATGGTACCCCAGGTGGGTGGCCCAAAGTGGCCCAGAATGAAAATAAAAATAGCAAAACAAATTTGCCTCAGCAGTTTCGAACCCAAAATGACACTGATTATCTCAGCAGATCTGTAGCCAATGGATATCTCCACAGCACGATAGACCTGCTGGCACTGTTTCTATGGAAGTGAGTAGGGTTGGGCACGGGTACGGGTCAACCCGGCGGGTTTCCGGGTCGGGTCGGCCCGGGTACGGGTACGGGTTCCAGTTTTAGTGGACCCGAAAACCCTCGGGTACACCGCGGGTCTGCTAACATTGAATTTATCATGGAATTTAGCTCATTTTGAGGCAGTTGGACATGGCTACCGGCTCTTAATAGTACTCCCAAGCTGTCGTCAACCACTTGATACATTTAAAAACCTCAATTGGTGAACATATAAGGTGTTGAACCTTCTCGGCAGACTTCGGCATGTGTGATCCGATCAATTCGGACAACCCGTGGACAACCCGTGGACCCGCGGGTTCGGGTTCGGGTTCTCCGGGTCCGGGTCCGGGTTGACTGTTTTATACCCGAACCCGTACCCGTGCCCAACGCTAGAAGTGAGCTTCCGCCCCGCATTAGGTACCCGTGCGCACGACCTTCACAGCATAAAGCGTAAGCATTTTCCTTTTAGGAAATGCCATAGTGGGGGAGGTGTGGGCCAACTCAGTTGATAGATGCATTGCATGTTCGGCAAACCAACTCGCAGAGGGAGAGAAGGGCTGATTGATCCAAACTCGACCATCCAATTGATCTGGAATCCTCCCTGCTATTTTTTAAACTGGTCGCTCGTCTGACTAGAGGTGTGTTAGATGCTTGAGTAGACCTTGCTTGAAGTCAGACTCAAGCACCGAATTCTTGAACATATTTTCAATGGGAGTAGCTGTTCCATTGGTCTAGCACGAGCAATCTATGCTCTGTCTCTGTACACCTCTGCTCCTGTCTCGCCGCAACAACACCACCTCCGACCACTGGTGCTGACGAAACCCTCTGATTTTGGCCTGACATCCTGAAGAATTGGTTCATGTCATTGGGGCTTTGTCTGGGCTGGTTACACCGAGATGTGTATCTGGCAGGAGATCCACCGTGGAGTAATAGTAGCAGGAATGAGGCTTGCAGGTTCCCAGCAGTGTAGCAATAGGACATTGGGACTAATAGAAAATAGGCACCGAATTATGGTTATGAATACTTATGTAATCATCTTTTTTATAACTCGCAAGCAGAAAAAAATGCAGGTGAGTTTACTTGTGATCAGTTTTCAGCAACGGCCAATAGTGGCTGTGTTGAGTGCCCATATAAGCACTGCCACTATTCGAATCATCTATTTACTGACTATTTAGTGGCTATGCATCAGCTTTATTTCGGTCTTTCGGCATTTGGAAAAATGGGTCAAATTGGGTGCCGGGTCGAGCCCGGTGAGTACAATTATTTCCCTTGTCCGCAACAGTCTTTCATTGTTGATGCCTAGACTCATAACACAGTTTGCCTATGATTGGCAAGAAAATGAGGCAAGCTCTTTGACGCAGGCAGACTGGTACAACTCGGGCCAAACAATCCACGCGTGCGAGGAGTTTGAATTTTTTGATAGGTTCTGTTCTGGGCTCAAGTCGGGTGTCTAAAATAGTGGAAAAAATGGAGCATGGATAAAACTCAAATTTAAGAGTAACGGCCTGTTCAGAATTTCCCTTAAGCCTCCCAAAACTGTAGGAATTTCAAATGTGTTTACAACCGAAATGAGTTCGATGACGTAGCGATTGGAACAGTATTTTGATGACCGTGATCGGCGCCACCTAAAATATCAAACTCCTCGCATGCCTCAATTGGAAATCCCGAGTTGTACCAGTCTGCCTATGGCAATGTGCTCGCCACATTGTTGCAGATCGTAGGAAGATTGGTTACGAGTTTAGTTGATGCCTCGGTTACAATTTTTCCTCCCCACTCATCCCCGGCGTAATTAAGATGTGGCTCGAACCACCCTCACCGACATTCCTGATATATAAGAACATTTACTCATGATTAAAGAGTAGGAGCGGGAATCTGCACTCGCTGTCATGCCAAACTTCCGGCAAACGTGGGAAGTGTCTTGCAGCTTATCTTTCCGCTGCACAACCATTTCCTAGCTTTCCCTTTCGCCTCAGGCGCCATTATCTTCTGGCAAATTCTGGGCTAAGTTCTCTGATTCTGTTCCTATCTGCCGCCCGTGTGAACTCAAGCGGGCTTTCTAAAATTTAAAACATCGCGCCATCCGCTCATTCCACCTCGAAGATCCCTATACTACATCAAGCTGCACTGTGAATCGGTGCAGCTTCTATTCTTCGGATGTCTCCAAATCTGTTACCTGCCGCTGCCATCCCTGGGTGAGGCATCTGCGCTAGCTCGACCTCTGTCTGTTCTCTACTGCTGCCTCCTGGGTCTTGCAAGCATTTGTTGGTTCGTGGCCATACGATCACGGAGCTGCCCGCGAGACCTCTGCACATGAGATAGGTACCGGGGAATTTATGCTATAGCTCACTGGCTGGCTTCCCACAAAATTGGGAACTGAAATCAGGCTTATCCTAAATGCAAGAATGGAATGATTAACATCTTGAAATTAGACAATGACCCTTAGCACATGTACTTGTCCTTCGAGAAACCTGGAATAAATTTGAGCCTCACAATACATATTGGAGTGGGTGAGAATTGCCATAGTTTCCGAGGGATCATCTATAATCACTTCAGTTATAGTATTATCAGGGAGAACGGAAGTGCCCGGTATCGTGATGATATTGATACAGGCAGGAAGTGTGAATACGACAGTGAGTTTAATGTGGTCTCCGCTGCTGGCACGGAAATGTGCCCAACAGAAGACACAACTCAAACGTGGTGGTAGTGATGTATGTACGTTTCGAGTCTGAGTGATGCGTACAACTTGTATCAGGAGCCGATATAGCATTGAATAAAATATGAAAACAAATAAGTATGAGTACATGCTGTGGGTTGCAACGGCCCTAACCTCCAAGTCGGATACTGAGCAGAGGTTGTCAACTTGACTAGACTTGTGCCGAATTATCGTCCGTTAGGTAGCAAGCCCATAACACCAGGAGATTGCGAGGGAAAGGGCGGGCAACTTAAGGCGGGAGCAATAGACATGTCGGGAAATTTAAGGAGTGGGTGATAGACATATTGTCAAATCGTCCCGCCTTTGCTGCCTTCAGGCCCTCGCTAGCTCGATTCAGGGTACATCTCTACACCAAGGGCTCCGTGGATCACGGTAGATTGCTCTCATCTTACAATCGGATTTTTTAGTCCAAGACAGGAGGCAGGTTCGATACGCGCCGAAGCTTTACAAGGAAGCATGCATTTTTTATCCCATCAAGTCCCGTGTGCACGCTGTAAATCGGCCCTGTTTATCGCCTCCCCACGGGGCCTTCGAGGTCCTGATCCCTCTCAACTTCCTTCCAGTCTTATTTTACCTCTCAAACTGAGTTCTCCAGGCTTCGTTGATTAACGTAGAGCACTCTCGTCCATTTAAACTCCCGCTGATTGCAGTGCTTCCGCGAGAAACGTGGGGTCGAGTCCCGTGGAAATCGTGTCCCTGATCGATCTGGACTCCTGCAGGGTCTACAAGCGCTTCCCTTCGAGTCGGCATGCTGAAACTACGACGAGCAAGTGCAAGCTCCCTCAGCCGAGTGATCCTTAGGACTCTTTCACAATAGGGCCGCAATCCAGAGCCCGGTGCTGCTACTCAATGCTTCATAGATCAACATAGATCTCTCTCGTCCTGTGCGCATTTACAATACAGGATTGCGCATGAGAGACTCGCAGGTTCGACTCCTGCCGAAGCCGTGAGCCCTTTGCTCTACTCTTTCTTTTTTTGTCTCGAGGGTTTATTCTGAGGAGGCGACTTCACCCTCGAAGTTTGCTACCACAACGCCCGAATTGGCACGGACATCTGGTCAAACCGTCGGGTTTCTGCAGCATGTGTTCAGTTGGAGATTTATTTATTTAATCTCACATCTCTGCTACTCAATTGCTCTAATCAAGGCTTTGTGGATCAGGGCAGATCGCTCTCGTCCTGTGATGAAATTCTTAGACAAACTTTTCTCCGAGGGGGAAGTGGGTTTGACTCCCGCCGAAGCCATGCACTGTTGTCCCGGTGGAATCTCTTTTTTATCGCCCATTCATCATCAAGACCCTCAGCCAGCCGTAACTCAGCGGATTCAGGCGTCGCCCCCCCAAGGCGCCTTTGGACATCCTCATTCAAACGCGGCCACAATCCAGATGGAAACATGCAGGGTTATTTAACACCTTGCCTCGGTATTCACGGCTTCGTGGATCAAGGTAGATCGTGCTTGGGATGTTGTGATAGTGACACAGGTTCAAGTCCCACTGAAGCTATGCTGAGGAATCCGGATAGCTCTTTTTCATCGCGGGTTGCAAAATTGTGAGAGCTATGGACTGGTTGTGGGCAATTCCAATTGATCGGCCGTGACGATCACGTGCAACGTCAATTGGAACCCGATCGATTTTCCTTGACCCACCACATATTCGCGGCGTCTGGCTATCAGTTCTCTCTCCATCCAAACGGAAAAAAAATCTAAATATTGTGTGTATCCTTAGGATGTATGTTCTCCAAATCTATATGTTTCCCTTAGCAATTGAGAGCAGCAGAGCCTGCCAACTCAACCCCTGGTAAATGTGAGTGAATGCACACTAACTCCGTCAGGTTATCAAATTGTGTAATAAAATCCCGAGAAAAAATCCTGAGCCTCGTGCATAGTCCCAGATGATTTCTCCCGGATTAGCCAGGTCAATCGGAAGGTATTCCCATCAGCACACAAGATATAGGTTGGATCGCCTTGAATCGGCAGGGATCAAAGAGGTGCAAATGATGGCAAGTTGGCGTATCACAACACGTTTTCCAGACTCAGGACGTCTGCGTTCGTCTAACTCATAGGTAGAAATATGTAGTAAATGTATGAATGGATGCAATGATCGAAGGGATTTCCTGAATTCACACCCCTTCACTACAAACACATGCATTTCATCACGAATTCAGACGTTTCGGACACTTAAAGTTGGAAAAGCCAAAATCCCTTCGATCATTGCATCCATTCATACATTTACTACATATTTCTACCTATGAGTTAGACGAACGCAGACGTCCTGAGTCTGGAAAACGTGTTGGCAACATTGGGTCACTCAAGAGGGCCGGCAACCCGGCAACTAATGCGTGGGAACGGATTGATGGCCCGATGCATTGCCCACCACCATATGGACAACTTGTTTCTTCCAGAGGGGACTTGCAGGCCTTGCCATTTATTGTTTTAGAGTTCCAATAAAAGACCTGGTTTCTGATTTGGAAATATCGCCCAACAGTGTCATCGGCACTTGAGAATCCCGGCCTCCTTGTAAAACACGTGAATTCAAGGATAATATCGAACACTTGTCATTATAATTACTCAAAAAAAGGAAGGAAACAAACAAAAAGAAGGCAAGATAGTAAGCAGGCGTAGCTGACAATTGAGCCACAACAACTCAAGTACAGGTACATACTTGACACCAAAACATGAATACTGAGTGAAGTATTGAAAAAAAAAGATCAGAGCAAACAGGCATACCTGACTCAAACTAACTCAGGAATGAGTTCTTTCCCCTCATCCAGACCTGGATTCTCCATCTTTCCAATTTCTTCAACCAGGCTTCCAGTTGTTGTCTCAAGGGCTGCATTTGGTGCATGGGTTTTTGAGAGACATTTCAAGCTCCTTGTATGTTCTTCACGTGCATCTCTCGCGATACTGAGAAGCTCTGCATCAATAAGGGCAACTTTTTTTGTTTGAGATGACCGTTCAAACAGAGATCTTGCACTTCTCCAATACTCTGTCGCCTTCAACACACCCCCATTTTCCTTTGAGATGTATCCAAGTTGAAGCATGCATTCTGCTCGGCTGCAATGGACATCCATCTGTGTGAATCCCTCGAGGGCAACTGTCAGAAGGCTAACTGCTGTATCCTGATCACCTTCAGTGCAGAAAATATCCCCTAAGAATTGGAGAGCCTTATGAACATCTAGCTTCTGCTGCGACTTGGAGGCGTGCACAAGATATACTATCGTCCAGGAAGATGGCCAATCTGTTGAACCCCAGAGACTTCTATTACCAAGTCTCTCTAAACAGTAGTTTGCCGATTGGATGTGATGGCCCCGAAAGAGTGAAAGGCATTTGTGGAAATGCACCTTTGCAGATAGTTGATTTCTTTCTCTCAGATGGAGGGCTCCCATTGTAGCATCACAGGCCATTGCATAGGCCACATATCCCAATGAATTGAATATTGATTTTGTTGTAATAATCTTCCTTTCCACATCCTCCATTGGTACACCCAGAAATACCTCGACTTCTGCAATATTAAGCATAGCGGAGGCATGAACAGCTGTCATTAGTTCAGCAGGGGCTTTCTGAAGAATTTGCCTGTGGATATCTCGGGCCTCCACATATTCTGACTTCACGTGATAGATCTCTGCCTGAGCTCCCATAAGCCCGTTGTCCAACTGACCAGTAAACATCCCACAGTGTCACAGTCAAGACTTCGCGTCCAACTCTACAAGAGAGCGGATTGGGGAATGCGAGTGGTTGTCTCGAAAAGATGATCGAATAAAAGACTAAAGAATACAGGCAATAACTACACTGCTTAAATACTGTTCTATGAACCGTGTGAACTACAATATATTTATACTGTACAATAGCCCGTAGTCGTGTGTGGGGCTACACCTGTCATAAGTTAGGAAAACCTTTTGTCGAACGTCCCGTAGCAACATGTCCTATTATCCCCGGGACTTCGTCTGCGTTTCATCTACACATATCCCTGACATCATCGTTCCGTTCCGATCCGTTCCGGTGTCACGTGTCCTTTGGCGTTTATGTCTCAGCGCTTAGGTTCGGTGTTGTCACGTGGAGATTGGTATCAAAGCGTGACACACAGTGAACTAGGAGAGCTCTTGCCCTGTTGCAGAGAGAGGCTGCATATTTGTAGTTTCCATGTGCCTGCAAACAGCACACTTCAATCTGTAGTGCCAGTGCTTCGTTATATAAATCTCCAGAAATCTTTGCTAGCCTCTGTGCCTCAGATGCATACATTTGGCCTGCAGCTGAATCACCCATTCGCCACTGGAGATCTGCTAGACGGATTGATGACTGACACTGTCTTTTGGTGTTCCCAGTTGAAATTGCCAATGAGAGTCCAGTCTGATAGTAATTTGTAGCTGTAGAATTATCATCCTGGGAGTACTGATAATAGCCTCCTAAAGTGTTGTAAAATCGACCTGTTGAACCAGTTCAATCATAGAGAAAATGCATTGCTTTAGGACTTACATTTGACATCGGACTCATCAAAGTGGGGTAAGTGTTTTATGGCTTGCTCAACCAAGACTGCTTGATTAGGAATTGGATGATATTGCCAACAACTGAATATCTCTGTGATAAAAAAGACCCCCAGTTCACTAGAGAGAGGTTGAATATGGGCAATATGGTCCATCAAATGAGTCCGGCCCTGTCCAGCAACTCTACTGAAAGCATTGAGATATAGGATGCAATAGATTGTATCAACTGCTGCCGGATTCTGGTGCTGGAGCCTGTTGAGAAGTAGGCCCTGGATATTTGAGAAATTTGATGTGATCCGGAGGACTACCTCAGAAACTGAGACAGTTCCAGAATGTTTGTATTCAAACTCCAAAAGCTGATGAAAGTAATTGAGAAGACCCTGAACAAGGTAATCCATGGGGGGATAAAATCTTGCCATGTATTCCCGAATGGGTACTAGGGTCTTGTACCGTCTATGAGCATCACTATAGGCCAATGAGGTGGAAAGTAGGGCTACTTTACACCTGAGGATGTCTTTGATTGGAAGCTTGCTTTGGATCAACTCTATGTCTGAAAGGCCATCAGGGAGCATTGAGAGGAGGCTCAATAGCTCCAGGCACTGAGGCACAGATGTAATTCGGGGGCTAGATAGAGACATTGAAATGGATAAATCAAGATTTGACAGCTTGTCGTAGCCATCCGAGATCACAGAGGTTTTCTCTCCCTCCCAACGGGCCAGCACATTGGGGCAGCCCTCGGATTCAACCAAGTGGGCCATCAGATCAATTGCAAGTGGCATGTTGTTTGTCAGGAGGAGAACTTTGTTGATGTCCTCACTGGTATGACAATCATCTGCAATATCGATGAAAGTCTGTCGGGCAGCATCCTGTGTCAAGGGTTTCAAAGCTGGCAGGAAAGGTCGTGTCCAGCGTACATAGGCTGGTCTTTCTGTCCCTCGCATTGTGATCTACTAGAGTGTTAGTTACAATACCGAGGTGTGAATCTCAGCACTTACAATCAATGCAAGGTGCTTTACATCTGTAAGCAGAGATAAAAACTCCTCAATGTCTCGACGGATTTCTGTCGACTCCCAGAGTGTCTCCAGGTTATCAAGGACCAAGAGGCAGGACGGATTGGTGGCAAAATAATGCAAAATCCCTTTGGCCAGATATTTCTTTGGCTTTAGTCCCAAATGGGCTCCAATGAGAGTAACTAGTTTATCTGTAGTTGATGTAGAGTCACAAGCAACAAAGAAACGATGGTGGGCATACTTCCCCGTGACTGTTGAATGATGTAAAACAGCTCTGGCAAGACTTGTCTTTCCCATTCCACCTGCCCCCAAAATTGCTATCCTTGGTGTCTCCTGCACGAACAGTTTAAGAATATCAGAAAGTTCAGATTCTCGACCATGGAAGATTTTTGGTTCTGATGGCAGCATGGAAATTGAGGTCAAGCTTGATTAGAATAGGTCAGTTTTAATTTTACTAATCTTGGTTTGGACCGTACCTGTTGCAGGAGCTCGAAAGGACACTAGTTGTCTGCACAAAGTTACTTCTTGCTACCCCCAGAATGCAAGGTCCACCCACCAATGATCCTTTGTCCGAAGTAGTTTCATCGGAAAGGGCATCAATCAAGTCCAGAACCTCTTGGTGTCTGGCTTCGGCAAATTTCTGCATGACTCCAACCTCATGGAGGAGATTGATATCCTGAAGCTGTTTATTTTTTCCTGGTTGAGTCCTTTTATGTACATATGATTAAGCAACTTCACCTTGAAGAGATCTACTGC